AAAATATGCATTTAATATGAATTGTTTTTTTGTTTTACATTTATTATTTAGCTACCATTTATTTATAAATATAAAATAAAGATTTTCTTTAATTTTTGTCTCTCAATATTAACAAACAACTTATTATGTTATTTTTTACAAAGTAGCTTGTTGCTACAGCAGCTACATCGGTACCCAAATTTAAGAAAATTTATGTTTACAAATTTATTTTGAAATTTTGATTGTTTAGTTACTTTAGTCAAATACACTTTAAATGTTCAAATGTTATTTACATATCCAATTATTTGATGAAGGTTATTCTGTAAAGTCTGTAATCTTAAAACATAATATGGAAGGTACCGTATATATATATATTTCTGCATTATTTTAAGATCTTTATATACACCTGCTGCCTGTTACACAATTAAAACAATTTAAGGCGCCGTAGAAAATTAATGTAAGTCATTAAAACATAATGAAATTAAATAAAGAATTGATAACATCAAAAAGTAAATTCATATATGCAGTATTAAGTTCTGTTTTTTAGCAAATAACTCACATTATACAAAATCTTGGGATACCGGGATACCAGGATTTTATTGACTTCAATCCCGAAATCCCGGGATTGTAATTCATGCCCGGGATTGCAATCCCTAGTTACATCCCATATGTTTAGATCAATGATTGAAGTGCCTGATAAACTGAAACAGGCATACATACAGGTAATAATAGTAATAATAATAATAATATTAATAATAATAATAATAATAATAATAATAATAATAATAATAATAATAAATTTTTTCTGTACACATACAATGTGTGAGTCTATTATCTGTAGATGTTAAAACTTTGACAGCCGTTGCAAAAGTTTTTTTCTTTTTTTTCTTTTAAAATGTTATATATTTTTTGTTTTCATTTTATTTGTTTTATATTTTTATTTTGTTTTTTTTGAAACGATTAAACTTGTTTTCGAAGTTTTTTTTTAAGCGTGTTGTATTACAATTTGTTACCATTTACCTTTAAAAAAATAAGTGCTCTAAAAGGTTACAAGCTAACGTAATTTATGAGTTGATGAGTTTACATCAGAAAAACCACAGATGTCCAAAATGAGTATCTTGTCTTCAAAAAAACACTGTGAATAAATAATACTTGTATTTAGCACAAAAACTGCTTTTTTTTATTGTATAAGGACTAAAATGTCAGAATAATATACTTTTAATTAAATAAATTATTAATAAACAGATATCTAATTTCACTAAACACTAAATTTCATTTTTCTCAAAATGATAAAAATGTGACATCTATGGTTTTACCCATGTGGTTTACATATATATGTATATATATATATACATATATATATATATATATATATATATATATATATATATATATATATATATATATATATATATATATATATATATATATAATATATATATATATATATATATATATTTATATATATGTATATATATATATATATGTATATATATATATATATATATATATATATATATATATATATTTATATATATGTATATATATATATATATATATATGTATATATATATATATACATATATATATATATATATATATATATATATATATATATATATATATATATATATATATATATATATATATATATATATATATATATATATATATATTAACTTCCTCTATAATTAGGTCTTCTAATTTAGTAGTCTCTGAGATGGATACTCTCTCTGGATCCTCTAAGCTTAAATCTTTCTTGTTGAGTACAGAGAATGTAAGCAGTTTTCCTATGACAGACATTTTGGTAGACCTGTCAAGATTAGGATCAGCCAATGTCATAGTAACACACTTTGGGGAAAGATACCAAGTATGGTTTTAAAGGCTTTTTGATAAAGCACTACCAACATTATAATCTCAATCTTTTTGGAAGATTTTAACAGCTTTGTATGCCTTAAGATCATTTACTACTGCATATTCAGCATTGCTGGATTTGAGAAATGAAGGAGCAGAGTATGTGGCAACAATTAAATTAGCCTTAGAGACGAAAGTCTTAAGTCTCTGATCATCACTCTTGAAGTTAATAATAGGAAATGTAATATCCAGAAGCTCCAAGTAGATGCTGTCACACATAAATCTAACATTATGGTTAGCACCTAGTTAGTACAAATTAAACTTTTCAAGCTTGGGTGAATTGATATTCATATAGAATGCAAAGTATTTTACCAAGTGATTATAACCATTTGAGATATAAGCTGTGAAGATCACTTCAAACAACTAGCTCATTTTAATGAAACTTCTTGAATTTTTTCCTCAGCTCCTGCTTTACTAACAATAGGGTAATAACTATTCATCCAAGCGTGCTTCAAATCATTATACATCTGTTTAGATGGTCCCACAGTTTGCTCTTTAAAAATAGCTTTGATGCCCCATTTTATATGCATCTCTGCAATATGGTGTCGACACAAGAGCCAGAAAACTGATTGTCCCAAAACTCTGACTAAAGTTATAATTGGTCCTGATTTTTTTCTTGTGTTTATAACTGTTGTGTCAGTACACACAGCAATGATATTCTCTGATATTTCGAATATTTCTACTAGATTCTGGAGTACAAACAGCCATAAGTTTTTCTATTGCCCACAGGAACAACTCCAAGAAGTAAATCATTGTTTAATAAAAACTCAAGACTTGGAACTGATACTGCTAGTCTATCAATAAGAACTCTTTTCCTTGATTCTTTTTCTATGTGCTTTACAATTTTTCCATCAAAGGGTAGCACCAATGGTTTTTCTTCATTGTTTCCATATACTCATTATGGATTTTACAAAATAAACAGATTTTTATCTTTAAATTTAATAACTTTATCAATCAGCAATCCAAAACAGATTTTTATATTATTACAATCTAAAAGCTAAAATATTAAAACAGTATAATTTTTACCTTCTGGATTAGTTTGTGTCTGCCCCTACTAATCGACTCTCTGCTTATCCTTAACTCTGTGATATCTCCTTCAAGATTACAATGCTAGAGATGAATAGAGTTTGATCTCTTTTACTGATACCAGCTCTCATACACGTTTGTGTGGTTGCTGCAATCAAACTCTCTGTAGTAATCTCCTTGTTTACTGCTAAGACTGAGGGACCAGATCTGTGTCTTAATTAAGGTCTATCTGGCTTATCAGCCAAAGTTGGTTCATTGCTTAAGTCAGGGTGATAATCGTCTCTATAAGGGTACAGCTGGGGAGGAATTATCAATTTTTAGAATTTTTAGAAAATTTTTATCTTTTGCATGACATGATATTAAAAAGGATGAGAAGAGAGAGAGAATTAACTAGGAAATAATTAAAAGATACTATAAAACATTATACCTAATATTTATTTTCTTTTACATTTTTTAAAAGGTGGTTCATCTTTTTCACTTATAGAGTCCTGAACTTTATTGTCTGTTCTCACTGGATTATTAGGAACCAACCAATCTGTTTCAGCTTTCTTTATAGCTCTGCGTGTCTAGTGTATCTTTCAATTCTTCTCTTGATCTAAATAAATAAAAACCTCTGAAATTTAGTATATAAAAATGATTAAATATTTGACAAATCTTAATCAGTTTTAGTTTCATTAAATGTTTATTACCCTGGCCTTTAACTCTTTATCAATGCAAGCACTGATAAACATTTTTCTGTCTTGTCATTAATCTTAAAGAAGGTCTAGGTCTTCTTTTATTGTAGCACTGTCTCTTGGCATAGAAATATCCTGATGCACGGTGTACTCAAACTGTTGAGAGCTGATGTCAATTAAGTTATCTGTCATTATCTGGAACTTTTCTTGCTCCTTTTGAGATGCATTTAGTTTCATTTTAAGTGGTTTTTCATTGCAAACAGCTTTATATTGCTTGTAAATTTCTAGAAACTTGTTTAGTATGCTTACTTCTGAAAGAACATAGTTCTAAAAACCACAAGAGGCCCAAATATTTACAATACTCTGGAGCAAACAGTATTCTTCAGTCACAGCGTTGCAAGCTTCATCAGTTCCTTTGCACTTCATATCTCTAGAAGATGGCTTTTGACTGGTCTGAATCTTTTAACCCTGGGGGAAATAACATACAGAAAATATCTAATAACATGACCATTAGTAGGCGATTGCCTGCTAGGTTGAGAGCTCAGTGGAGTTTCAAGAAGTTTCATAGTCAGGTCTTCTTGGGTTGTAATTTGTGGGCTTTGCAGCTTCTTTTTTAGCTTTAGCTTTTCCCATTTTTCTGAAATATTAAAATGTTGGAATGAAGAATTAGTTAAAACATTTATAAAGGTAAATATAAAAATTAATAAACTGCGCTTTTAAGCATATTGAGTAATAATATAATAAGAACTTAATGGCAGACAGTAGTAATGGTGGGATGGTGGAGTTCTAGGATTTAGTACGGATAAAGGTGTAGAGGAATTGGTGGGCATTTGTCAATATGATATGAATAAAATAATATGAATAAAAACAAATAAAAACTATTTTTATTGTATATCAGCATTAATCTACTATTTCCTCTGTTACATAAGCTTGAACAGGAAATTGATATCTGCTAAAATTCATCAAATAAATTGATTTTTAACATTATAATATGTATTATTTATAATCTCTGAAATAATCAAGTCAAATATCT